TGGAGGGAGGGGTATCAACAATTCAGAGCCAATGGTAAAAATTGGAAAGGAGATAATTTATGAAACAAACAGTTTCAATGGTGGGTTATGTGCTGCATGAAGGGTTTGTTTTTGCACGTACATATTTTTCGTAGAAATGCAAATGGTTTTCAGTTTTCTTAAAAAGATTTACAAATCGATAAACACATGCTGACGTTTACACTCAGAGATGTGACGAGCGTTTTAAAGAAAGTCGTAGCTAAGGCTATCACTGTTTTTTTACATTCTCATTTTACGTTCTCATAATACAATTCAATATGCTCTAATACCTTGATACGAAGCAAATTCCAATAACTTTCAGATGACTAGCTTATTACCTATAGCTTTCTGCATTCCGGAAAGCTAAATTGTTGGCGTGGATACGTTTGCCTTGAGAATACGATTTCTTTTGCATGGTATTCGACTAATTAACTATATACAGGTGTAATAATATAGCAAATATTTATAAATACAGTACGGGTGAATAACTGACAGGATAACGAAGAAAGCAGAAAACATGACTTAAGTAACAGAATTGTCAGCCTGTTGGAATCGCATTACAAGGATGCGGAATTACAGTTTATACCAACAAGATCAATGAGATATTTTAATCACGTTTTATATGTTGCAGCTGGTAATCGCAAATAAAATACTCGAATCAGAAATGCATCAAATGCTCTACTGATCTGCAGTATGTGATAGGCAGCTGATGACATTAAGTTGCGCTCAATGTCATGTGCACGGAAGCCATTATCAAGGCGAGCTACTTCCGAACCAAGAGCAAAAAAAGTTGTCATCAATAAAAGTCACGACTTAAAGATGCATTGATGCATTGCAACCCGAAACTTCATTCTTTTCTCAACGCACTTTGCTGATGCACACTTTTTGCACACAAGCATACACGCACGCACGCGCGCACACACACACACACACCTTTTAACGTATCACTGTAATAATTTAGAAGTGGAACATCGTTTAGGTTCTGAAAGTCCAAAATCATTAACTCCTCAGCAATTAAAATCATTAGCGAATGTCTCTTTCAACTTGTTAATGTTGTTTCGTACAAAGCTAATTCTTCGTACCTCAAACTCCTCAAATACTGAAAGCGAGGTTGATTAGCCATATCAAAATACGTCAATGTTCTTGGCAACTATCTTCAACCACTTCGTAAGTATTGTATCAGACTCAACTGATGTGCAGTGAATGTTCTTCCTTTTTACTCGGTACTCTGTTTCGCTCTGTTCCAGGAGTTCTTTTTTTTTCACATCTTCTTTGATCTTCTTCTTCTTCTTCTTCTTCTCGAAACGCCTTTCTTCATCTTCATAACAGTTAGTTTCTTTCTCACTTACATTTCTTTTACCCTCCCCTTTGTACTTTTGTTTTTGGTAATTCTTTTTCTTCTTGTTCACTCTTTATCTTCTTTTCATATTTGCCTTTTCTCCTTTATTATATCGTATATTAAATTTTATAGCGACCGCTTGATTTGTAATAAGTTTGGATGTATATACGTGATCACTCATACATACATACATTCATACATACATATATACATACATACATACTGAGAGATCGCTGACGCAAAGTCCGTCTGCAGCCTGACAGTCTTCCTTGTTTGGTAAACGTTTGAAATGCATTCTCAACATATAAGACGAGTACCGTAGGTACGATGTCGTTGTGCCCCTGGCAGTTTGCTGAAAAATAATGATTAGTCTCATTCTACTGAAAAATGATAAATCAGACTATAACTATCCCATAAGAAAGTAACTATTTACTTTGTGTTAAAATTAGAGGAAACTCTTCTATCAAGCAATCACAAAATATTTGCATTAAAAATCCAGGTAGATTTGAAACACTGCTGCACAGTAGTCAATAAATCAATTTTCTTTCATCGGCGAGATGGTTCAGACGTTGCTGCTCATGCCAAGTGTACACCAAGTACCAAATATGTATAACATATACATGCCAAGTTAGACCAAAAACTTGTTCATCATCATAATTATGCCCTGCATTTTTGTGTATACTTTTCAATCATTATGTATACATACATAATATTCGACATAGGTTTTTGAAACAACTATGCTGGCTGTTCTGAAGTGTCCTACCTCATTTAGTAAAGTCAGTTTTGCTGCTCAGTGTGAACTAAGCAAACACCTACAATCACGAGAAAGGTTCGGTACAGAATGCTAAAGAAACTTACGCAAAATCAATAAACACACAACTTACGCGACGGTAATGCACGCTTCCTTGGCGACCTGTGAACGAAGGTCTTTCAAAGCGGATTCAATAGGACCTGAAAGAACCCAAAGCTTTGGAGTGATCTCCGTGAGCTTCGTTGCTTCTGATTTTACGACGCTTCTTACGAACTGCAACTAAAAAATATAAGGTTGACAAAAACAATGCTAAAGATTAATTAATTGCGTAGAACAGGAGCAAATGAAGTTTAGTAGGAGTTTTGCTTTATTTTAATTACCCTACTAAACAAGTATTAATTTAAAAAACTACGATATAATGTGCATAACAAATGTCCCTTTATGATTTAATCGGAAAGCTACGGAGCTTCCGCCTGGGGTAGCAAAACAATGGGGAACAATGTGCGCAAGACCTATGTCAGGAATGAACACAGTTACACAGTCTGTTCACTAGTGCCACCAATGTAATCCTGCGACCGCAGCTACCACAATCTATACTATATAATGATTCAACAAAGGTAAGAAGTTCCAGAGAGAAGAGGGAGAGAGATAGAGAGCAGAACAGCAGTCATGTGCGCACTGGATACAGGCCCCGTCGCCAAGATATTAAAATCACAATTAGATTCATAAATACTGTTACTATAAGCAAAAAGAAACAGTAGCCATGGCTGCTACAAAGATTAGCAATAAACGCACAAAAATCAGCTAATGAAACACGGTGAACTAACCTGCATCTGAATGCTTAGCAGAGCATGTCGCCAATAGCATCACTTGTTGCGAACAAGGTACTGCTTTAAACAATAAAATGATGCACCGATGCACAACAGGCAATCAAATAACACGGCGCTGCCGTTTACTTAACAAGGCCTGTAGTCCTCTTTCAGCAGCGGGGTATGCCACACACAATGAAGTATTTTTCGAAGTCTACTTCGTCAATGGACATGTATGTATTAAACATTTACTTAAATAAGTAGATCACTCCAAGGAAGTTGGTATGTATTAGTGAAATTGGGTCAACGTAATTACATGATGATGACATTGCATGTGAGACCGAATTATGTTGATAAATAAACAGAAACTGATGACACTTTTAATAATGAATAATTTTATAGATCTAACTTTCAATCATGAACGATATGTTTAACTGTGGCAGTTAAAAATTCGATTAAAAAACTTGAAATGTAAAAGTTATAGAATAATTAGTTCAGGCGTGTCATAAATTTTATTTTTGGGAGTCGTTTTGAATTTGAATTTGTCGTTTTAAATTTTTTGTCAATTTAAATTTCATTGTCATTTCCGGTGAAGACACTTGCTTACTGCTTGAATCCGTTTCTCCCATTCGCTATCACGGTTGGACGACAAACGCTTCATCGCGTCAGAAAACGCGTCAGAACTTTTCATGTCGTTTGCCTGAAAATCGAGAATTGGTTATAAAAATAGCCGTTAATACAATAAAAACAACGAACAGTACTTTGAGATAGTCAACACATTCAAACGCCAGTATAAAGTCATATTCGTCTAGTTCGCCGGCAGACACTAAAAAAATAAATCAACAAATTAACATCTTCTGGAATAACCCTGATTCAAACAAAATCATTCACATATAAGGTAAATATTTAACATGTAAAAAATGTCATGTGTGCCAAAATAACCCCATCCAAAATGTTTTCAGTACTTGTTTACGTATGGGATCAGATGTTATGGTAAATTACAATGGCAAAATGTGTCCTCCATCGTAACTACGTTAAACATCAATGTATTCCGTTAACTTCATAGATCTATGGCCGAATTACCGACAGAAGATCAATGACAGAATCTCTCATCCTCTGCAATGCAAGAATATTCAAAATAAAGGCTAAATTTCTAAAATGTGAAGAGATGGAAAGATTTGAAAACTACGTGGTCTCTGCAAATGACAGATTCAGAATTCAAACGAACTTCCATCTACAAATGGGTTACAACGAAGAATAAAATAACTACTGCCCTTACTACTCTTCACTACTGAACGAATTTCATACCATGAAAACGAGGGTAACTGTCATCTGGCAGTCATTTCACTGAGTGCCACCTTCTGTTCAGAAAGCAGACAGCGCGATGTAAAATTTTCCACCACCTACTGTTGTCTGTTGGATTGTCGTGCCGTGATTCATTTTTATCCATGGTCTCCACCACCCCTTCCATGTTTTTCAATTGGTCTTCATCCAAACCATAAAACGCAACGTTCGAATGTCTACGACGCAGTATGATGATAGCGGCAATCATGATGTTAGAAAACAAAACTAGCTAGTTAACAGCAGTAAGCGCAAAAAACAAGCAATTTCGAAGGTGATTCAAGCAGCTCCCACATTTTAAAATAAAAATGATTAGTATTAACGCTGTCTCTGCCTTTCCTGCAACATATATATAAAGGATAAATAATGAAGAAATAGAATGTCTGTTACTTCATAAAAAACTAACACCATACAAACCAGCAACATATTATGTTGCTGTTGTTATATTAAATATACATCACATTACAGAGACGATCTATTTAACCACTTTAAAAGCACTGGATAGTAATCGAGCCTGCAGTTGCAAACCTAAAACTTTCACGGAGTGATATTTATTTACAAATTCCTGATAGGAATGCGGTAGAAAAGACTTCCTCAAGTTTCCATGCGATGAAGTATCAAAAGGCGTTCAATGAGTCATTTTCCTCTAACTGCTTTCCACGCAACCTTGTTTGAACACCAAATTTCTCCAAATCACTACGGTATGATTTCGCCAAAGAAAACTGACTCAAGTCTTCTCAAACTTACGCAATAGCTTCTCGATGACAGATCATTTTGGATCAACATTCATCACTACACACTGCAGACACGAGAAGTTGATTGGGAGTAATACATCAGAAACCTAAAATTACTCTGCAATATCTGAATGACGATGGCCTACTTTTTGAATCGTAGATTAAAAAGTGATGGTTTGGATATTTGGTGAGGGTACCACAGCAAAGATTTTCAATGAGAGCTCTCAATGCAAAGCTTAACAGAAAATGACAATCTGTGAACAAAAGCATAATAATTAGCTCGATTATGTCGAAACCATGGTACTGACACCCTTTGAAATTCAGATCATTTGGCACGCCCGATTAGCAGCAGAGAGTAATTGCTGGAAAGGCCTCCTGAAAGTAATTTTCCCGCGATCTCAATGGAGGTGGG